TTGAATAATATGTATATCGGGAGTTTATTTAAAATATATTACAAAAATAAATAAATTACATTGATTGTTGTTGCATTTAATTTAATTGTTTTGTTGCCTTATCCAATTCTCTAATCCATCAGCCACCCATAACTCTTGAACAATTTTACCCAACACGCCAATATTAAAATTCATCAAATTTTCCAAGCCTCTGATCAAAAATTTTCCTTCTTTCACTATAAATTCTCCCTTTAGTTTAGTTCTGGTAGTTAACGAGTCTGGTGAATAACGACTTTTTAAAAGATTCACAAGCTCAGGCGACTCGACACAAAGTAAAGCATTGTTTATTGCATTACGTTTAACCGTCTGAGAGTAAGAGCCTGCTATCACCAAATTAATACCACATGCTTTGAGAGCAGTTGCTGCCTGTTCTCTTGATGAACCTGTACCAAAATTATATCCACCAACCAAAATATCACCCTAATAATTTTCATGTGACAATTAGCGTGATAAAATCTTGAATAAAATAATTTTAAAAAATCATTCATTTATTTATACCTTTGATACAATTTTTGCAAATTCAAGATCATAATTTTCCATCACAATTTTTGCCATTTGATCAGGTGTATAATCCTCAGCGTAAAGATACTTTCCAGGATAAATACCATCAGTATTCAAATTATCTTGATGACAAAAGAGCAATTCACCTTCAATTGTCTCGGGAAACCCTTGAATAATTATAGATTCAGTTGATGGTTGTGATGTTTCGAAGGATGGTTCAGGTGGTGGATTACTATTATTATTAATGGCATAGGTGATGATTGGCATTTTTGAAGAAGTAGTATTTTTCAGTGACGATGTTGATAATGTTGAAATGTATGCAGGACTACTAATTTTCCCAGCAACAGCAGATGCAGCAACTACAGCTAAAATTATTAAAAAAAGTTTATTAGCATTAACATCAAGAATTTTTTGCGTGGAGCAGAAAAGCAAATCAATGAATAAATTACCTGGTGATGCGAGATATGCCAATGCGTTTGGTGATCCCATTCTACCTTTGTAATTCCTGTTTGTAGCCGATATACACACTTCTCCATCTTTTAAAAGTCCAGTTCCAAGACCTGCATATTTATTGTTACATATTATTATTATTATTATTATTATTATTATTATTATTATTA